CCTGGTCATTCATATGGAAAATCTAGGTCAGATCCAAAAACTTTAACCTGGTCACTCATCTGGAAAATCAAGGTCAGATCCAGCATCCGAAGCCAGTGTGGAAGTGTCCATCCCTAGATGCATCATCCATGCATGCAAGTTTAGTCCAGGTAGGACTTATAGTTATTTGGGAATGGACCTGCTCCAAAAACTTTAACCTGGTCACTCATCTAGAAAATCTAGGTCAGATCCAGCATCCGAAGCATGCCTGGTAGTGTCCACCCCTATATGCATCATCCATGCAAGTTTGGTCCAGGTAGGCTTATAGTTACTGGGAAATGGACCTGCTCCAAAAACTTTAACCTGGTCACTCATCTGGAAAATCTAGGTCAGATCCAGCATCCAAAGCCAGTGTGGAAGTGTCCATCCCTAGATGCATCATCCATGCATGCAAGTTTAGTCCAGGTAGGACTTATAGTTATTTGGGAATGGACCTGCTCCAAAAACTTTAACCTGGTCACTCATCTAGAAAATCTAGGTCAGATCCAGCATCCGAAGCATGCCTGGTAGTGTCCACCCCTAGATGCATCATCCATGCAAGTTTTGTCCAGGTAGGCTTATAGTTACTGGGAAATGGACCTGCTCCAAAAACTTTAACCTGGTCACTCATCTGGAAAATCAAGGTCAGATCCAGCATCCGAAGCAGGTGTGGTAGTGTCCATTCCTAGATGCATCATCCATGCAAGTTTGGTCCAGATCGGGCTTATAGTTACTTGGGAATGGGACTTGCTCCTAAAACTTAAACCGGGACGCCGACGCTACCGCCGACACCGACGCCGGGGGTATAGCATAAGCTCATCTCGACTTCGTCGAGGTGAGCTAAAAACCAGTGAAATATCAAGCCCGATCCTAACAGAATTGTATAAGCGATAATTTATTTTATAAACAAAATCTCTTAAAATTGCGCGAGCGCGCCGACGCGCCGAATAAAATTAGCCCCCAACATCGATTATATGGAATTTTTTCCCATTAGTAGAATATACGTATACCCTTTGTGAAGTTCACCTTAGTTGATTGATTTACTTGTTCGCATGTACATCTGTTTATCAAGAAATACCACTTATATATACATACATACATACATATATATATATATATATATATATATATATATATATATATATATATATATATATATATATATATATATATATATATATATATATATATATAAAGCACTAAAAATGACCAACGACACGAACAATAATAATTGTTAAATTTTCGGGACGACCTGTCCCTTCCTCAGGACAAAGAAAAAAGTTCAGAAGTCATAAAAACAAAGAAAATAGAGAAACAAAAACAACTAGCACTACTACTAAACACTAAATATTTACAGTGTTACATATTTCATTTGAAGTTTATAAACAGTTGTGAACAAAGAAATCCGGAGCGCTATGAATTGCGTCCGTTCTATCGGGTGTACTCTGGAGAAGTGTGATTTACATAATTGAACGAATTAATTAGGCTATCGCTAATTAAGTACGACCAAGCAATAAATCGTACATTGTCTTATTCTCTCAAAATAGCGTAACTATACATGATAAAAAGAAATTAAAGAAAGACAAGTAATAGCTTTTCAAAAAGCTTGCCTGACTAATCAATCAATGTCTACATGATCTATGGAACGTATAAGCAAGAGAGGTGCTAATCGTTTCCGTCATCAAGGAGAGACATAGTTGTGATACTTCATTACACAAGATGTACAATTGACTTTCTCAAATCTCATAACCAAATACTACAGATTAACGAATATCTAAGACATGTCACTATTTAATCATTTATTAGTTAGCCCACGGGCTGACTAGTTACGTTGGGATGAAACTCTAAGTGCGCTAGCATAGATTATAATTTTGGGAAAAATAGATGATTCGCTTTAAAGAAATTCATATTACATGTACATTTACTCTCTTACTAGAGGGCGTGCTTCTTCATGCACACTCTCTGGTCAGTGATAGATTGATGAGACGGCCTCTTTCAGGCCCGTAGAAGCAATTTCACTTTGAGGGGACACAACCATACATTTTCAGGGGGGGGGGGGCACTATCAACCACCAAAATTCCTTGACAAGCAAAAGAAAAAAAAAAAAAAACCCACATCAAACGTTATTATTGAGGGGGCACAAGTACATAGTATTTAGCTTTTCTATAGTATTGTATAGGTCGACAAAATTAATGGGGGGGGGGGGGGGGCACGGGCCCCCGTTCCTACGGCCATGTCTTTTTATGAGTGGTCTGTTTTTCTCGACGACGAAGTAAATTATGAACAGTTTTAACTGCCTTGTCTTGAAGTGTTATAAACAAAAATGCTTCAATGCTGCTCTAGAACTCAAAGTAAATGGACTGTACACTTTATAGCTAGAGCCAAGAAAGATACTAATAACCCCCCCCCCCCCCCCCCCGGACGAAACTCACGCGCTGATGGTCTTACCATATACATGAATGCATTATATATATTATAAACGAGTTTAAAAATACATCTTTATGTACGGTTTTAAAATTGTTTAGTTTTTCTTTTCAATCGATTTCAGGACCTTTCTCATAATTATAATAATTAACGTGCTTTTATATGAAATGAAAACTAGTACAGATCATGATGTCCTCTTCATTTTGCCGATTCTTTGCTTAGAACCTTGAGGGAGTTAAGCCCATTCCTCTATGGGTACTGACCTACTCTTGTCACTATCCTTGTTCATCACAAAGCATGCTACTGGCTGACTTTGTAACCTTGTTTAAAAACCTAAGCTTGTAACGTACATTATTAATAAATATAATATTGAAAGAAAAGGTGGAAAACAGACTTAATCAAGAAGGGACGTCCCATTTACAAGGTCGAGGGAGTTTGTTTATGATTGGACTAGTTCACTTATGGGATGTAGTAAGACCTGCAAATCCAATGCTTTAGTGTTGCCTGCCCATATACAATGTGTTCTTTTAAAAATGAGATAAAATTTACTGTTAATAAAAAATCTGAAGTTTAAGAATCAGGTTAAAAGATTTCCATAGAAGTTATCACACCCATTCAATAGAACAATCCAAGAAAAAGGCGCGAAGACATTTGGCGCGAAACGATTGTGTCACCCCTTTCGTAGAAGGCAAATGGACTGATCCAGTAGTTTAGAAACGCAGAAAAAATGTTACACGGACATGCCCGTACAAAGAATCGCAAAGAATAAACATGTGCATGCAAAAAAATTGAAGGAATTAAACACAACATTATTTTGCATCAGTAGTATGATTCTTTCTTCTGCAAACTGTATTTGTTTAAATGCAGGTAACAAATTCCAGTGTAAATCAGCTTCTAGAAAATCTAGTTCATTAAGAATGATCGCTTAGTTTCGGATCTTGGAAAAATTAATCCTTATACTTCCTGACGCACGTGGCGTCAGGCAATAATATGGAAGGGCAATTTTAAAATATGAAATTTGATATATTATAAATTTGGAAATCGGATAAAAGAAATAAACAAAAATGTATGCTGTAAATCTTTGGGTAGGTTGTTCCAGAATTGCTAATGCGAATTAACGGTAAAGTAAACTAAATTAGTAAATAGAGAGAATGAACTTGTTTGTTACAATCAGGGAATGGGTCTAGTTCACGTTCATCCTGGTGAAGTCATTCAGTTTGTTAATACCATTAGGGCGGAATGACTTCAGCCTGTGCATCCAGAACTTTTCCGTGCCTTTTCTCTGAGCGTCTGTCCATCTTCGATTATGGTCAATAACCACTACTGTCATGTCCTCCCATTTGTGACCTTCAAGGTAGGTTGAAATGTTCCCCAACGGGTTCATTGAGTTTTTTGGTCCTAATGGTAGAACGGTGAGTATTGACTCTCCTGCGGAGATCTCCTGTTTCACCAACATACTGTTTGGAGCAAACTTTGCAACTGATGAGATAAATGCAGTTATATATATATATATATATATATATATATATATATATATATATATATATATATATATATATATATATATATATATATATATATATATATATATATATATATATATATTTATTATACTTTCATGTTGAATACTAAAATCTGATTGGTTTAGACGCATTTAACAATCCGTAATGTTACCCTCAGCGTTACACACTTGACGACGGGTAACATTACGAAAATATCACATGCGTTCAAATCATGCGCGTACGGTTCACCGTAGAATTCTCAAAACGTCGGTTGTGCGTTTGAAAGAAGGCGAATAAACGACGTCAATAAAAGCTTGCGTCCGATGTAGCTTACTTGAAAACAACAAACGACAGACGAAACATCCTTGCGAGTGCAAACTTTAGATGATAAAGGACTGTTTTAGTCGCAAACAAACAATAGAGAGGTTGGTAAATCTTTTCCGAAGCTTTCTTATTGAGAAAAATAGAAGCGGGGAGTTTAAAGCTTTCTGAGCGTGAACTTAACGACGATCTCCGATTTTTTTTTATGACATCCGAAATCAATAAGACATTCAGTATTATAAAATAAATAGTGCACGTTTTTGAGGGTAACAGTTGAAATTGACACCCCTCGGAAAACCATTGTCAACCTCCGCTGACGCGTCGGTTGACAATGGTTTTCCTTGGGGTGTCAATTTCAACTGTTACCCTCAAAAACGTGCACTATTTATATAATATATATGCCACTTCTAATATCCCCTTGAACAGTCAACTTCTCATAGCAACAGGGGCAAGGTGCATGACAACGTATAACGTCATAATGCTATCTATAAATAGAAACACATAAAACTGGAAATTTTCATCTATAAATAGATTAGGGTCCGTAAGTCTCGTCACGTGACTTGCGAGATTTTTCGATAATATTAACTTCCGGGTACCTCACACATGGAGATGTGTATTGGGTTACACATGTTTATGGTTTACACAAAGCGTACAAGGAAAGATTAAGCAGTTGTACAAAGCCGAAGGGTTCTCCGACGTACGATGGATGAATTGAGCGTCATAAAAGCTTGGAAGCGAGCATCCAGGAGGAGAATTTCGATCGAAGTACAGGTAAACAGGTCGGAGAATGTCACCTGTTTCTTGTGTATGCTTGGGGGAAATCGAAGTGTCTTGTATTATACCTGAATGGAATAGTTTTGTAATCATCATTCCAATTAATTTATTAACAGATTTTTCTTGAATTCGAGAACAATGATGTTAATACCAGCTGATAAAAGAGGAATAGTGTAAGTGCCCGATGGGTACGAACGTCATCTTGTGACTGCATCACCTTTGTTTGGGTAAATAAATTGTTCAGAATACGCTTCATTTATCAACAGAATTTTAGCTGTTGCGTGCCAGTGAGTCTAGTCTTAAGTATTCATGTTTGAAAGAACATATTTCCCAAGGATAGATTTTCTTTATATATTCTGCCAATTCTTTCTGTATTTATCATTGAACAAAATTCACATGACTGCAATAATATGACTATATTCTTCAGTTTAGAGAGCATGTTATAGAGGAGATTTTGGTTAAAGTTTCAGTCTGTTTCAGTGTTTGAAATATTCTTTCATCTTGCACAATTGTATACATTAAGATTCATTTTATAGCTTAAGTACAAGAGAATTGCAGCACCGAAGACTTAACATGTACATCGATTTGAATAATCTGTATCCTCAAAAGGCAACTCGAATACAGGTATGAAATAATGTCACAAAATAAGTTCTTGGACTTACATTTACTCTGATAATACACATAAAGCATATCAAAAATAGTAAAGAATTATATATAGGTACATCAGGTGACAACTCAATCAAGTATGGAATATTATTAACGCTGAGTTTCCAATTGTCAAAAGGGTATTCAATATATTCAATACAAGTTGTCAATCATTTATAAGTGATTTGTCCAGTGGTGCTTAACTTTTCTCCCACAGGTTTTTACACATTCACCCATCATTCATCTATACTGTATTCAGGCATTTCTGGACTTTTTTGTTGGGAGATGTAAGATTTTTGAAGTCCTTTATGATTTGGACACTTTTTCTTGATCCAGTAGATGCTTTTTCTTCTTAACATGACACTGACAAATATTGGACCCCCATAACTTGAATGAATATATATTGTCATTTCTTGTGAGAGTGATGTAGTTGTAATTAATATAGATCTATGCTGAGAAGAAAGAAATATATGAAACCAAGCAGTTTTTTGTACTTGTTTGTACTTGTTTTTTTTATATAACTTGTATTTTTTTAAATAAAAAAGCACAGTAGCATAGTGGTTTTCTACTGAGAAACCAAGGTTCATTACACAATATTGGTGTAATGTTGTTACACCTGAATATGTTATAACCTGATGCATTTGGCTCGGGCAAAAGGGTACTTGTGCATCTAAGGAGTTGATCAATGATGAGTCTAATTAATATTCACAAATGTCACATATGCATATAACCAACATGTCAGCGATGTATATGATATATCTCTCTTGAGAAACATCAAAGTGTAAAAAAAAAAAAACACCATTGGACAAATTTCTCTATGCATCTAAATCATTTATAACACTAAACTGTATTCAAAAATTAGGCTAACAATAATGTGAAAGAACAATATAGTCTTTAACACATAAGTACAATTTTGCATTCATTCATCTATTCACTTTATTGCATTAAATGAGGTTCATTTGCATATAAATGTTGTTAACATTGTTTTACTGTCTTTAATAACTTGTAATACTAAATTTTATAACTTGACAAATTCGTTCTTTTTAGAAAAAACATATGATTTGGAAAAGAGACCACCAATCCACTGGGGGGGTATCGCATGAAAGCAATGGTATTACAGAATATTGTAAAGCTGGATGAGTTATAGTGAAACAGGTAGGCAAGTATTGGTACTTTGTTCTTGGAATTTTTCGCCCCAGTTAAGTTTTATTTTTCTCATTCCGCCCTCATTACAAGTAGATGAATTTAAAGGGGGGCAAATTCAAAGAAGGCAGCATATACCTTTTAAACACAAATTTGCTTCGTCAAATTTTAAAAGGGCAAAATTGTTTTCAAGAGTGAAAGAGTGAATATATTAAAAATTAAAATGGGGTGAAAATACCCAATAGTACAGGTTATATGTATTTACATGTATGTATTAACAGAGTATATTCTTTATAATGAAAATAATTTGTTCTGTAAAAGGTAATAAAAAAAATAAATGCCAGATTTATAACATATTTTGCAGGCACCTAAATTACCATCATTTGTGTGTCAAGCTGTGCAAAAATTCTATGTCATATTACAGAATCTTTTCTTAAATACAGGTTTATGTCTGCTCATCTGGCAATCTTAGGACATCACTGGATGGTTTTGTTTAAGAAGATTACAGAGTTAACACACACTTCCAGCATGAAGACCAGCCAGTTGCCTCACCTGTCTTGACATTGTTAAAGGTAAGTGACCCTTTCAGAAAAGGATCTGACAATGCAAAGGCTTGCTCATCAATTAAAGATTTCTATTTACCAATAGCTAATTAATTTGAATTTCTGTAGCTTAAAAATTTAATGATATGAATTAAAACAAGAGGCCCATAGGCCACATTGCTCACCTGAGTAACTTTGGCTATGCCGTTCTTTACCAGATTTCCCCCTTGTTATACTTACTGTGGCCCCGCCCTACCCCCCCCCCCCCCCAGGGGGGGGGGTCATGATTTTTACAATTTAGAATCTACACTATCCCAGGATGCTTCCACATAAGTTTCAGCTTTTTTGGCCAAGTGGTTCCTGAGAAGATTTTTTAATGACCCCACCCTATTTTTGTCTTTTCTTGATTATCTCCCCTTGTAAGGGGACTTGGCCCTTTATTTTAACAATTTAAACTCCCCTTCACCCAAGGATACTTTGTACCAAGTTTGGTTAAAATTGGCCCAGTGGTTCTTGAGAAGAAGTTGAAAATGTGAAAAGTTTACAGACATACGGATGGACAGACGGACGGACGACGGACAACGGGTGATCAGAAAAGCTCACTTGAGCTTTCAGCTCAGGTGAGCTAAAAATATTTTAATCAAAATTATTTTTATTTCAGTACTTTGAGACAGTGAAAAGACATGGCTCTAAATTACTGCATCAGAGATCTATCCAGGTTATAAATCTGAGGAAAACAATAAAGCATCATTTGAAGCTACTTATATCACTGCCTTAAGGAGTTGTCTGCATGTGTAACGAACAAAGGACAGTGACCAGTTGTACCTATGATATCAGACAGGGCATCCTTAAAAACTTCAGCCGAACTCATCACTTAGAATAGAAAACTTCATAATTTTATAACTTTTGTATCAATCCTTTTGCACTTCATCTGACTTGGAATTTCAGTAGCCTTTACATGTAGCATCCTTCAAGCATTTCATGAAGTACCAATTTGCAGGTGTCAAATGTTTGTCCCAAACGAAACAACAAAAAATAAATTCTCTGGCAGTTAGCATTGTCATGAGCAGTGATTGATGTCACAGTTCCACCGGCATAGTATTTGTAGTTGAATGGTGCCATTTTTAAGAAAACTTTTCACAAAAACCTGGAAAACATCAGATGGAAAGGAGCATCTACAAGAAAAACGGTGAACACTTTCTTGAATATTAACAATGATATGCCATGCCCCATTTACATCCTTTATATAAACTAATTAACCAAATCATGGAGAATTATATACAAATTTGTCCTTTTGTGTATTTATAGTGTATTAAATTGATTTTACTAATTTATAAATATTTATGTTTTTCACAGTCATTAATATTTTACAAATAGAAGTACATATAACATAAAAATATTACATGTTTATTAGGATAACATGAAATTGTTATTCCTCAAAAACCATCACTGACCGCGGCGAACAATGGTTTCCAAGGGGTAACAATTTCACATTACCCAAAATAAACAAGTAATATTTTTCTTGTTTTAGAATGCATTTGAAAGAAAACATCAAGGTGAAACGAACGTGCAAACATTCTGCACAGCCAACAATCTTTATTACTATATATTTACATTTCCAATGTCTTTGTCTGAGATAAAATTTCAAATTGTAAAAATACTTTATTTCTACATCGATCTACTGGTTCATCCATAGGCGTGGTGAAAAAAAATATCACGTGCGAGGCAGGACAAATAGAGACAGAAGCGGGGCTTGTAGCACGTGAATTTGCAGGATCAAGAGCATGTATATATAAGGAATAACTGTCAGATTTTTTGGTTTCATGACGATGATCAATCGATTGGCTTGCGTGATAATTTTATGCATAAACGCCTACAGCGTTTATGCAAATTACCACGCAAGCCACTCAATTGATCACATAATGAAGCCCAAGAATTAGACAGTTATTCCTTAAATATACTGTTACCCTTATTCATGCATTTTCAACCATTGGGATGTAATGTTTGGCATGCAGTAGGGTAACAGTACTTGTTAACAAATGTTTTTAAACCAAATTTGACTATTTAACAGGAAAGTATATGAAAAATTTAACTAGCATTATGGTGCTGTGAGTAACCATGGTATGTGAGCTTGTGTGAACTTGATCCTGAATTACATGTATTATGTTTTGAATATTGTAAAAGAAATGTGCAGCCAAAACTTTGACCTGTACCTGATTTAGATGGAGCCTTCTTGGAAGTTGTCACACTCTTTACGAGTGTAATAACTGGCATCTGCTTCATTTGCAGATACATGGATAACACATTCACTCAAAGCACTGTCCCTTTTTCAGTACCTTGTGCAGCCCTGTAATATATAATGACATATGGAGAAAAATTCCTATTTCAAGAAAAAATATCTGTCATAATTGTAGGAGTATTGGAAAGGGGGGAGGGTGTCATGAAGCTTGGCAGTTAGGATATGTGTACATGAAAAAAATGCCTTCTTCTTTGTAGAATAAAAAATAATTTTTTTTTAGTGTGTGTGACTGTTTTTATTTCTGGATAGACCATGTAGACAGGGTAGACTACAGAATGAGCTGTCCATTTTTATTCATTGTAGTAATCAAATTAAAAAAAATAGAATGTGTTCTCTACAAGGATCATGTGTTATCAACGTGGTAATCAACTTTGTATACCCATGGTCGATGCATTCCCGATCTCATGCACCTGTCCAATATTCCAAAATAGACCCTTGTAAGCTAAATCAATGCAATAAATTTCTGAAACCAATCTGTAGATAAGCTTACCTTTTGAATACAGACTATTTTAGCATTAAAACGATTTAATCTTCCCTTTATGCTTAAGTATGTTGGCTAATCTACGTCCGCTCAGAATGGCTTGTGTTTACGTCATGTAATGAAAAAATAAAGCAATTAAACGCTATTTACCTGCATCTATCAATCCATTTTCTCCTCTTCTTTGCAACAATCGGGAATCAAAACAAACTACAAGTTTTATAATTCCACTGCGATGCTTACAACTTAAAGCGAAACAGTAATCCATTGTCTCCAAGAACGCTCAGGTACCCGGAAGTTAAAAAACGAAAGTGAAAGTAAACGAGACTTACAGGCCCTAGAATCAGCTGAACGAAACGGACAGTGTTATTCCCTATTCTAGTGCGTCCACCAAGTGTGAACCATGTCAGTGAAATTCATTCTCTACATGCATCAAAACCTCAATAGGCGAAATATGCAGACTATTCCCAGAGAGGGAGACGGATAGCTTCCTACAATAACTGGTCCCCTACGGCATGTACGGCCAAAGAAAATCCTGAAAACTTAGCAGATGCTGGATTTTTTTTTACACAGGTACATAGTTATTAGTAAGTTGTCATACAGAGGAAAAAGTGTTAAAATCTAGAAAAATTTACATAATTTAATGAAAAAAGTGACTTAACTCTTAAGCCTACATGTAAAGCAAAAATGTTGGTTTCCTGTAACCCGACCGACCCATTCAAATCACCCCCAACTGGATTTTTTTTTTCTTCTGCGAAATCTGTGATTCATTTATACAAAAAATGTTAACTGTAGCTTTATTTGTGATATAACATTATGTCAACCTAATCATCATTTACCTTAAATACAAAGAGTGATCATTATTACATCCAGCATTTCCCCCACAACTTTTTAGAAGCTAGACACCCATGTGTCTGCTGTAAACATCACACCTGGTTAATTCAGTCCGCGGATGTTTGACCCTCTTATTCATTAGCAAAAAAAAAAAAAAAAAAAAAAAAAAATTCGACCTACCGAGCCTTGATTTTTTGGGAATGTTACAGGAAACAATCAATTTTTTTTAGGTCTTATAGGTCCAATGAGACGGGTGCAGTTTTATTTTAGTGTTTATTTCGTTTACGGAGTAAAGAAAATTTCATAATGCACAATGTCATTATAATAAACAATTACTTACCTACTTCTAGAATGTACTATTAATATGGCTGATAATAATACCCAGGGGTACATGTAAAACATGAAATGAGAAACAAGAAATGAGAAACAAAAAAAAAAAACAAAAAACAATGACCTAAAAATGTCAACCAAGGGGCAGCTATTGCCTTGATTTCATTTTGTTAGAAAACAAGTGCCGAGTGAAATTAAAACATATTGCAGGTCAGATTTATCAGTGACGGATGCTAACCCATAAAGTCATGTCAGATTTAATTAAATATCAACAGCTGAAAAGTACATAATTTATAACTGGTAGCTTAGAGACAGATTCCCTCAAATTATTTTCTGATTTATAAACAAAACATTAAATATATTTATAAATAATTATTATATGTTTATACATTTATTTATATACATGTAGTAAAGAAAGCTATATAACATCGACAACATTGCTTCATCTCTCTTTAAAATACATGCTGGGTTCACATGATACGTATGAACAATTTCTAAATTTTAAAGGCAAGCTATTGAAAAGCAAGTTGATGAAACAAGTATATCAACAGTCTTGTTTAAAGTCATCATTTCGGAAGTTTTACCGTTGATACAATGACCTTGTCAGCACATACAACCTATCATTGAGTCAAATGCTGACTGACATTTTTTATACTAATTGTTAGACCATTATTTATACACTGAACTGTCTACGGATTTTTCTTTTTTCCGATCATGACAAGGAGCACATGGCGGGTGTGACCAGTCGGCAGGGGATGCTCACTCCTCCATGGCACTGATCCCACCTCTAAATTTTGAGGTCCATGTTTGCTCTGCTCCAAATTTGTATCATTTCATTGGACTTTCGAGATTGAATACTGTTCATTATCTTCATATTTCATGATAATGAATGAATTCCCCCTTTAAAGACATTTTTAACTAACCATATTCATTGATATAGTTTCTGAATTCTTTTTTGGCCAACACAGTGTCATTTGGTGGACAGAGGACATCCGTTGTAGATATTCAAAATTTTTTGCAACAACCATAACAAACTTTTCTAGAAACCTAAAAATCTAATTTTTTTCTGTATCATCTGGAAATGGCTCACACACAGAAATATTGTCAGATAATCTCAAAACTGGTTTCCTCTTGCTCCATCCTGATTTTTCATTTGGCCTTTTATGAAATGACTTAGGTGATAGTGAATCAATATGGATGCAGTTAGATTGTTACATGTACTACTGCTTTTTGACTTTTTACCTCTATACTGCAGAAAATCTCTTAATTTTCTAATTGTTTCACCAGCAGCAACTGTATGGTGACATATTTTGTGAAGCTTCAGTGACATTCACACTGATATTGCCTGTCTTGGAATTAGATTCTACACAATAACACTTTTTAGGGTTTGAGCATGTTGAGAGACTGGAAACTCTTCATGCATACTCTGGGATGTACATTATTGCATTATCTTTCTGCAGCATAGGCGCTTGGGTCAAGGATAATGTTTGTTTTCTATATAATGTATTGTCGAGGAAATTCGAACTGTATTCGTAACATTTTTTTTAAGCGTACAGTGGTTATTTTGTTTCTTGTAAATCTTTCTGCTTGATATACACTAGAATATCACAGAAATTTGATATTATGCACGTTTTAAGAATGACATATTCCTACTGAAAACTAAAAAGTATACTGTATAAACTGTAGGAATATGTCATTCTTAAAACGTGCATAATATCAAATTTCTGTGATATTCTAGTGTATATCAAGCAGAAAGATTTACAAGAAACTAAAAATAACCACTGTACGCTTAAAAAAAATGTTACGAATACAGTTCGAATTTCCTCGACAATACATTATATAGAAAACATACATTATCCTGACCCAAGCGCCTATGATCAAAACCCACAAAATGAAATGTCGGATCTCTTCCTAATATACTACAGGGTTGATGGGTACAAAATCTTTTTAATCTGAAAGTTGCTGGTTAGACAAAAGAACAACTGTAAAATCTGGGCGAATATCAATCTACCTTATAAAATTATCAGTTTGAGTATCAAACTCATGTGGAACTTTCTTTATTTCATCTGGTTTTTCATCATTTTTTCTTTTCATATTCCAAATTTGGTGCTCATTTCTGGGAATATTTTGAGGCGAAATATGTTCTTTGCCCTCTTTATCTGTGATAAATTTATCCATGGCTGTTTTTGCTGATATCATTTGTTTCTTTGGCAATTTCGGACATTTTCTGCAAATTAAGCCCTTCATGCCAGTCTTCGACACCGAGGAGCATATCCGCTTTTGGAATTTCCATGGGGTTTGATTGTGACTGGAGAAATGTTTC